GGGGGGGTGGGAGGATTTGGTCTATGTGTGCTGGGATGGGAAGGGGGACAGCGCATCAGAGATGGCAGTGGCACCTGAGGGGATGCACGGCCCCTTCGGTGGTCTGCACCCTGCTTTTCCCTCCATCTCCTCACTGTGATGCTCTGGATCTTTGCTGGGTTTGATCACAGCCCTGTGTCCCTGGGACGCCTGTGTGCAGCTGTGATCAGAGGGGCTGGGGGCTGTAAATCCCCCCAAAGGCTGGCAGCTGCGTGGTGATGCTGTCCTCGGTGGGTCCTGCCACCGCGTGTTTTACTGTCGGCAGGCGGCAGAGGGCTGTCCTCATGAGGGCTCACCCAAAAACGGCTCCGGTCTGGCAGCCCTCAGTGCTTCAGCGCTGCCAGAGAAGACACTGAGTAGATCTAGCACACCGCTGCGGAACAGAGCTCCTGGGCTTGACAGGGCAGAGATAGGACCACAGGGAGACTGTAGGGCCCTGCTCCAACCTGCCATGTCCTTGTGAAAGGCTCAGGCTCTCTGGATGCCCTGGGCTGGTGCCTCCATGCCATGGGCACCTGCTGGGGGTGAAAAAGGTTTGGGAGAGGAAGCAGCCAGCAGCTGAGGAACTGCAAAGGTCTGGATATGCTGCTCAAACCAGCCCCAACACTGGGCCATTCCTGAAGTACCTGAAGGGGCCCACAGGAAAGCTGGAGAGGGACTTTTTATAAGGGCGTGCAGTGATAGGAGGAGGGGTAATGGTTTCAAACTGGAGGAGGGGAGATTTAGATTAGACATTAGGAAGAAATTCTTTGCTCTGAGAGTGGTGAGGCCCTGGCCCAGGTTGCCCAGGGAAGCTGTGGGCGCCCCCCCTTGGCAGTGCCCAAGGCCAGGTTGGATGGGGCTTTGAGCAGCCTGGGCTGGTGGGAGGTGTCCCTGCTCATGGGGGTGTTGGACTGGAGGAGCTTTAGGGTCCCTTTGCACCCAAACCAGGCTGTGATTCTGTGATTCCCCATTCTCTGCAACCACTGTCTCAGGGGCAAGCAAGCAAACCCCTCCTGTAGCCCACCAGACTGCTGTGGTAGCCATCCCCCATGCAGCAGCACCCCAGGCTCGTGTCCTCCTGCCTCACCTTGCGTCACCACCTTGCCGAAGACGGGCAGGGTGTCCAGCGTGGAGCAGTTCCAGCGGCGGTTGCGGAACTGGTACTGGCACTCCTCGATGGCCAGCTGGGCCCCACGCCGCACCGAGTCCATCACCTCCAGGTTCCTCTTGCACATCTGCACCTGGCGCTGGATCAAGCCCTTCAGCTTCTCGCAGGTCTCCTCCTCAGAGATGCTCCCCACTGAAGACAGCTTCGCCAAGTACCTGTTGTGACAGCCAGCACAACTGGTGAGGGGGTGAGGGTTAAAGTCATAGAATGGTTTTGGTTGGAAAAGACCTTTAAGATCATTGAGTTCAACCATTGAACCAGTCCTAAGTCCACCACTAGACCATGTCCCTTAGCACGACATCTCCTTGTCTTTTAAACACCTCCAGGGATGATGACTCCACCACCTCCCTGGGCAGCCCCTTCCAGTGCTTGACAACACTTTCAGTAAAGAAATTCCTCCCCATATCCAACCTAAACATCCCCTGCCACAGCTTGAGGCCATTACCCCTTGTCCTATCACTTGCTATGAGGGAGAAGAGACCGACTCCCACCTCACTACCCACTCCTTTCAGGGAGTTGTAGAGGATTGGGGGACTGAATCCATATTCAGCTGGGACACCTTGCACCAGGCAATGAGGAGACCCAGCCTTTCATCCCCTCCATAGCCGAGAACTGGTGCGCATCTGAGGTCACCTTAACTGTACCACCGCAGTGGCTCCGCAGGATGTGCTTTTGGCTGGCAGAGAGCAAGCCCAGGCAAAACAGCCATCCCTCTGCCGCCCGGTCCTGTCTCTCGGGAAGCCCAGCTGCTGGCTCCCCTTTGCCTCTGTTGCCTGCAAGGAAGATATTTTCGGCGTTGTCTGAATGTGCCCGGTCAGGTCTCCTGAGTACCGGCACATCCAAGTGCTACTAGGAAAAGCCAGAGGTCTCTGAAGTCAGCCAAAACAAGCAGGACAGGCACTTGGCTGCCAGCTCCGGCTGCCACACAGCTCCTGCGGCGTGGCTGTGTGCTCGTCACCAACAAACATTGCCCTCCAAACCACTTCCGTCCTGCTTTTAGCTCCCCCGGCCCCCAGCAGGCACGGATGGCCTCTGGGAGCTGCCAGGTTTCCCAGCACTTGGGATTTAGGCAGAGCTTGAGGTGGGGAGGATGGGTTCAGGATCCTGCATGTGCTGGGCACCTCCTCCACCAGCCCAGCTTATCAGTGTGGCCACGAGGTCTTTGCTGGCCTGGAAAAGATTGGCCCTGTGTGGAGGTAACCACATGCCCTGTTTTCCGTCACGCCATTCCCAGCAGAAGGAGTTACACAGCTCTAGTGACAGCATTAGGGGAACGAGGACTCTTACTCTCCTGGGGCAAGGTCTTGGCATCTTCCCACAGAGCACATGGGCACGATGGTTCACCCTACCTGTCCCAGTGACCCAACCCACTGCACCCTGCACGTGTGCCCATTTCCCAGGTCCATCCTTCTGCCCCAGCACCTGGATCCCAGAAGGGTTTTCAGACCCGCACAGCTCAGGCTGTCAGATAACCCCAGATCCTCAATCCATGCCTGTGCCGGTGTATGTTGGGCTAAGCCTCCCTCCTTCCCATGGCTGCTGGGACCCCCTTGCAGAGACACCACCACTGGCGGAGCCCCATCCTGCTGGGGCAAAGGGATATCCTTGCGCTGGATGGGCAAAACCTCAGCACTTGCCCCCACTGAGCTTTAAGATCCTTGGGAATCACCAGGATCAGCTCACATTGCTGCCTTGTCTGCACCGAAGGATGCGAGTACTGAGCTAAGGCTTTTTTGGAAACCTCATTCCTTGACTCTGCATTTCCCAGCCCGACAGAGCTTGTGGGTTTTTTTGTTTGCTTGTTTTTTTCCTCCTCCTCCCAAGTTGCGACATCCTGCTAAGGACTTTTCCTTTGAAGCCCTGCTCGCCTCCGAGAAGTGACTGTGCAAAAGTGGCTCCTGCTCCCTGCTGGCTCCCATGTGTCTCAGGAGCCAGATCTGCTGACTGCAGCCACAAAATCCAGTTGTCACAGCCTCTTCCTCCCATTAGTCCTGCCAGTTTGCCCCAGGAGGAGAGAACAGGATTTTCTCTTCTGAGCATCAGCAGAATTATTCACCAGCATGGTTTCATGCTTACGACTCGGGGCTTGTGGGAGACGGTGAGAAAGCCGGCTCGGCTTGCAGAGTCCATGGGGAGTCTGCATTGCGAGCCGTCAAAAGCCTGCAGCTTTCTCTGCGCAGGGAGATCACTTGGTGCAATGCCTCTTGGACAGCAGGAAGTGGCGGGCTGCCCTGCTTTGGGAGCCAAGTTATGTTCTAGCCTTTGTACCAGCTAAGCATCTCTGTCTGAGGCTTTCTGCTCCTCCAAGGGTACAGCCCTGTTTACAGAGGACTGATGTATGTGCATGGCTTGGAAACCCCACTGTGGCCAAACCCAGGGCTGCCACCTTTCTGCTGTTCCCCCTGCAATGCAATGAGTGTCCCCATTCCCAATCTGCAGTCCTGGATGTGGGGTGTTGGAGTTGCTGTCCCCACACCTCACTGCACTCAGCTGACCCAGGATGAAGGCAGCAAACCACCCTCGGGAGCTCCCAGGACATTGTTTGATGCTGAGCAAGCCTGCAGTGACTGTGACAGCTCTGTCCCCTCCCTGGTCCAGCCATCATTTCATTTTGGGCATGGGGAAGCTGACACACAGCAGTGTGGTGAGATTCATCCCATGACACTGTTGATCAGCTCTGAGCCTGGAAGCCAAGAAAACCAGATTCTGCCTCCAGCATGAACCCCTTGCACTGATTTGGCTTTCCGCCCCCTTGCTGTAAGTTAACCAGCATTTACAGCAGGGAACCAGCTCCAGCATAGCCAGTCCTGCCCATGAATCAGTGATCAGCCCGACTGGCAGGAGAGAGCCATGCCGCAGGTGAAACAGCCCCAGTCACACCAGCTCTGCTCAGGATGGGGGCATTATCGCCTTTTCTAATATATTTCCCAGCTCAGTGGGTTTCTCCGGGCAATGGAGAGCTATACATTCAAAGCACACAACGAGAAAAGCATGACAAGAGCCTTTCAAGCCTTTCCAAGTAGATGTGCCTGATAAGATGCCTCCCCAACAAGCATTTAATGCTGTTTGGGATGATAAAACAAAGGCCAAGGATGCTTCAAAGACAGGTACAGCTCTCCAAGAACAGGTCTGGTAATTTGTTTTGCAGGGCAGGCAAATAAGTTGAAGCTATCCAGAATGGTGCTCTGGCCTTCCTCCCCCATAACAGATGCTCTGTACGCCAGCGTCTCTCCTTGGCCCTGCCTCTCCTTGGGGATGGAGGCAACTGTGCCTAAAAAGCCCTGGCCCCACCAAACTCCCAGGTGTTACCAGTCTCCTACATCCCGTCAGTACTACCACTGCTTTCCAAATGAGGCACCTTTTCTTTGGTGAGGGGAGGCTCCCATCCTGATCCCTGCTCCAGGAAGTATCCAGAGGTTGAGTCAAGGATGTAAGGAAAGACCTTTACTGAAGGATCTCAGCTTTGAGGCTTTCACATGGCGTCTCTCTGCACCACATTTGGGGGCATTGAGCAGGAACATCTTGCTGCTTTTCCCCTCTCTGAGGCAGCTGAAGGGCAAGGTAAGAGCTGAGAAATGCGCTCTGCCCTCACCAGCACTCAGAGATGCTTCCACCCCATGACTCACAGAGCTTCTCAGGGCTGTGGAGTCCAGGGAAGGCATCAAACCCATCTGCAATATCCTACAGTCACCATGGAAACCCAGCTTTAGCACTGCGCCTGGTCCTTAACGAGGACCTTGCTCCAAACTTTGTTTTCCTGGACCAAGGTGGTAGAAACCATGGACAAAGCCGTTCTCCCTCTACCCACCTGACAGCAGGATGGGTACAATAGGAGCAAACCCAACAGTTCCTGCCCTCCGCAAGGTCTCAGTGCAGATCTCCATCCTGATACCACATCTTGATTGCTGTGCAGAGCTTTAGATTGTGACTTATGTCTCACATCCAGCCACAAAACAGCCCTGCTTGTGGGAAAATACCCGAAATAATGGCACAGTTTCTTCCTTTTCAAAGATTGGGCAAAGAATGTTTCAAGGGGTGAGCTCCTGTCCATGACATTTGTTCAAGTTTTGTCTTCCTGCTTCATCATGAGATTTATGTTTCTTTTCTCCTGCGAGTCTCCTCTCTCCAGGCGAGTCACTCACAGAACAAGCTCCCTTTTAATAAAAGTCGCAGATTTAACGCAAAGCTGATAAAAAGCTCTTCCTTTTTTTAATTTTTTTTCCATCCACAGCATATAGATCAAGATTGAAGCCCCATACTTTAAGCATCTGCAGTTGATCCACCCTGCAAGATGGCAAATAAGGAAACCTCAAATCCAGGGAGCTTTGAAAAGGGGGAAAAAAACCAAAAAACCCTACTTAAATAAAAATGATGGTAATAATTTCAAGAGGAAGAATAATCGGTGGGATGACAAGACGACGTTGGAAGAGACACAGCAGTTGGCAGATAGAGCCAGAAGGAGAGGGGAGGAGATTCCTTGCCGTGGGAAGGTGTGGAAATTTGAGTCATTGACAAATTCTCAATAGAGGCAGGTCAGGGAAGATGTAGCAGATGTCTTGGAGAAAGCAGAAAGCTCTGGTGTTTCTTTTATTTAAAAAAAATGAGTTTCATCTGTGAGAACTCTTTGCATTGTTTCATTTTGGGAATATTTTCCTGAAGAGGGTAACAGCCAGACCCAGGCCCGTGGTATTGCTGCTACATCACTCAGAGATGCTGAGAAGTCAGAGGAGCTCAGAAGCTTCACCCTCTTCAGTGAACACTCAGCCTGCCTGGGACACCTGCCTGGCCAAGGCCACAAAAGGCTTGTTCAAGTCTTGCATTGCAAAGATGCTCCAGCTCTGCTCCTCTCCGAGAGGCAGACTCCACAAACACCCCCCCTGCTCATGGAGCAGCAAAGTCAGCCTGGATCCGCACTGTGTCTTGTGGCTGGACATATGGTAGCCAGTGGCTGATGTATTTAGGATGTATGGAGATGGACAGACACACAGAGAGAGAAAGGTACCAACCAGGCACTGCAAGGAGACATCCTGTGGCTATGGAGAAGGGGATCAACTTTTCCGTGTTGCTTTCCCCTTCCAAGGAGAGCGAAGGCATGGGGAGGTGTCCCAGGGTTGCAGGTCAAAGGATGCTCCAGGTGGGCCAGAGAGCC